CATTGTGAGTACAGTGAACAGCACAGGCCAAACCAGAGAGGCGGAATCTTCAGGGTCACTGCACTCCTCTCTGGGCAGACTATCGCACATTGATAGATTGAGGTCTTGATTTCAGATGGCAAATAGCACTGTTATCAGAAGCAAGCTTTCAAGGGGAATCTGAGAGAGGTGCGGGGTCCCCCATGGGGTGGGAGAATCTCACATTGATGAGGCCGCCCACCGAGACCGACTGAAGTCACTGAGTGCTATCAAAGCTTGTGGAAAGGGCAACGATAACAACACCAGGGAAAACTGAAGCGGTGGCTCAAGTCTGTTTTGGTTTTCATGAAACCATCCAATTTCAACTGCAATGAATTTGAGGACCCAATGCAAAACTGGTATCCTGTTTCCATCACTATCTTGCAACTGTCACATTCTGCATAACCCAATTCTTTACTTTACCCTCGATTCATCTCCAGTTTTATTTTCGTACAGTGTGGTAACACTCTCCCAATACTGAGTATGATCTTTTCATGCAGTGTGTGCCACATACTGGTAGGTCAAGTAGCCTGTATGACAGTTCATACATTATATTGTCTACGGTGTATGTTTGAGAGCAAAGTACATTCTTTTTTTGAGGGGAGGGATGCTTAATGTACAGAATAGAGGAACATGTAGAGGGCCTACATGATACATTTTCCACTCTGCTGCTACTTACGCACGTTTTGTACATAGGGTTCCTGCACCTAAAGGACAAATAAATTCCATGACTTTTTCATGACCAAATTATGAAAATCCACGACCCAATAACACAATTTCTTGGACTATGCGGACTTTTAAAGTTGCAAATAAAACCACACATTTTATGCACTTATATCTGGTAACAGAAATCACACACTGTGTTGGAAAAATACATTGACTTTTCCATGACTTTAGTCATTTTCACAAATTTCATGACTTTTCCAGGCCTGGAAAATGAAACAAATTTCCATGACTTTTCCATAACTTTTCCTGGCCGCAGGAACCCTGTGTACACACCTACATGTACTTCTCCACTACATTTGAAAGGACCTATGAAATGGGGCGGTTTTTTTCATGTATCCTTAAAAGCACACACATCTGAAACGTACATGTATTTCTAAGTTTTGTTTGGCTATGGTAAAGGGTGTTTTGCTGTCTTTTTGGTTCTAATGCTGAGGAGCACTCCAATATTCATGAGCAAAAAAGTGATGTTATCCTGGGATGAAACCCGCAATCTTACACTGACATGTGCACCAATTACAATTTCAATAGAAAGGCCAATAAAATGAATTTCTTTTTCTCTGATTGGCATCACAGCAACAGTGCCTTCAGTTGTCCAGAAAAGCATGGACAATTCTAAATGTTTAAAAGGTGCACTTTTCAATACTTATCTAATGCAAAAGGGGATAGAAATGAGTAAATCCAAAAAGGAGAGTAAATTGCACGGCAAGCGTGTCTCATAAAAATTAATTACTAAGTATGCCAAGATTCTTGTTAAGTACAGTCTCTGTTGATGTGTACAGCAGTTCTGATAAAGTTTTGGCAGTTGGTAAATCCATGTAAAAATGTAACCAGGAGGAAAATGGCAAACCCGATAATGAAAGATTACCAGGTACTGTACCAACTACTCAACTTCGGTACTAATAGAGTCATCATAGACCAAGAAGGGATGCCAGTAACCAGCCAAACGTTTCCCTTTAAAAATGATCATCTAATAAAAAAGGAAAGGACACACACATGCCAATTTCATTTCAAGGCCACTACAGACTGTGCAGTAATGTTACCAGCCATTGTGTAATGAATTTCTGCCTTCTCTAAACGACCCAGTTCCTTTAATTTGACAACAATCACAGACCACAAAGCACTCTACATGTACACTGTCCAAAAATATCTCTTGAAATGTACTCAATGCACCGGAAACACCACAGGCGCAGAGGACAAACAACAAACAGGGTGTTCCGCCTCTTCTTGGTGCTAGATTAGGATCATTCGTAGAAATTGTGGAACCCCTCAATGATGAATGTCACTCTTCCACTCTTTTCCTTCAGGTGCAGGACAAGGGTGTCATTTGCTGGATTCTGCCAAACAACCAGGTTCCAGAGTAAAAAAAACTTGGGGTTCTAGACGGAAATTCTCCGGAGATGAATCTCTGCTGGGGTCAAAATCACTGTCCTACAACTTACAGCGATGCCATCACTCATTACCATTAAAGAAGACTGACTGTGTAAATGTTTTAAAACATCTCTTTAACCGAAAGTTCAAAACCTTATCTACCGGTATTCCTTCCCACGCAAGCAAAGGAAACAGAAATCATACACAAATCAAAAACGATTCATCGTGCCCGTACCTGAAAACCACTGTATAAAATTTTCAAAAGTTATTTTCTGTCTTCTCTGCAGCAAAAGCCACAAGCAGCAACACTGTACAGGGATGCCAGTCAAGTTATCCAGAGCCTGAACTGAAAAGAACATCAGAGCAGCCTCAAAATACATGTACTTGTATGAATTAACCATGTTAGAGACCTGAAATTAGCCGAGCATTTTTAAAGGAAAGCCTTAAATTAGGCTTTTGCCTGCAAACTAGCATCCCTGACTGTAAGGGCCAGTACCGAAGAGCTTCTTTTCATCATTCAATGTAATTACATTTAATAATGAAATTTGTGTTCAGAGTAGGCTTGTGCGGTACTCCCAGTTCCAAGTGGAACCGTGGTGCCACAAAAAAATTGGAATCGGCAGCTCTGCTCTTGTGAAGAACCGCGTACCCACCACTGGCGGTTCCACATTCAAAGAGCCGACTCCAAACATCAAATCCGAGTACCAGTCACGGCTTGGCTTAGCCCCTGTGACTACTCCAAATATCGAATCCGAGTCACCGCTGCTCCCGTGTGTACATGTATAGCATGCTGTACATTTAGCAGAACACCCTTCCACACAAGGGAAAATCCGTACACAAATGTACTGTAAAATACCCTTGTGTCTGGGTACCAAACCCCATTGGTTATTGCACGCACAGTGCACTGGAGCTTTGATGGCCGGAAGCCATGAAGCTCGAAGACTGTTTTACATGTGGCTGTGACTTCAACATTGGTGAATTTTGCCTGGTACTTGCGTGTGACGTGTTGTACTTTTTGCATATACATGTATGACGCCAGGCAAAATTGTCATGGGTTAAGAAATAGCCGAGCGAACTTATGCACCAGCGAGGGTCTTGGTTCTCAACTTCTCACTTCGGAGTTGGTTCCATGCATGGACGTGGACCCGGGCAACGGCATAGCTAACAAGATAGTGGACGTATCAGGGTTTTTGATGTGCCTACGAATGACCAGTTTATGCATGGTCCATGGCCATTTACTATACATTGACACATGTTCAATAAGTACATGTACACATGATCCAGTCCATACATGAAGTTCCACGGCATGGTCGACGATTCAATTTGTATTATGGGTAAAGTTACATGAACTTGCAATAGCGAATCGGCTGTTGTTCTTTTTATGTGCAGAAGGAAGCAGTGCTGAGTTATATCATGGTTGTACATACATGTTGCAGATTTATTCCAGCCATAACTAGTCTACGAAGAGGTAAAAATAAAATTCAACATACCCTCTGTGGATAATCTTAAAGCCCACGAAAGGCCAAAAGCCAGTCTGTTGTGCTATTGGTGAGTGCAGTGGCACCGGCGTGATGCGCGCGGCACGGGCAGCGACAGATTTTTAATGTGTTTTATTAAACATTATGTTTTTCTTTATATCTTTGGGAGCCGGTTCTAACTTGGAATTGCGGTCCTCAGCTGGAGCCGGAGCTGGCTCTGAGAATTCTGGAACCACCCAACACTAGTTCAGAGACTTATCAAACTCTCTAACATTTAATTTGACAGCTCACAATCAAAATTAGATGGTCAACTCTTGATTCTACGTGTACATGTATTTACATCTCCCAAACAGTCCCCACCAAAAATCCTCTAAAATCTGTGCCGTAACACTTGATTTTACAGTCTTCTCAAAGTCAAATTGTGGAGTCCAGTGGGTGGGTTAAAATGTACCATTTTGTCCAATACAACTTTACAAACAAACAAGTATTTATATTGTATTTTTAGTATTTACATATTTTATCAAAAAATCCCTGTAATTGGTGGGCAACCGCTGTTGGTGATTTAAATAACTAAATAAATAAATACATGTAAGCACAGTGCAGTATCTTGCAACTTGCAGTGCAAGTACCGGGTACCAACACAGAGTACTAGCCACTTTTTACTTTTTCTTCAGTTGAGACAGGGTAGCAGACAATTCCTGATCAAACAATCTGGGATGAAGGGTCCAAGATCAACATCAAAATGAAAATCAGGGAATGGTCTCCCGGGATATGAAGCTGTTTTCGTTGCTGTCTGACTACTCCAGTGAATACCACTGCCGCCAACAAAAACTGCACATTCCACTGCACCTCAAAAAGAAATAGGGGAACTGGTAGGGGAATGTGTAGTGATTATATGTTGTCAAAACGGGCAGCTGAATAGCTCATGAAAAGCTACTTGCTCCCTTGTCATAACACAGCATTAAAGATATCTCTCATACGACACCCTATCTGCAGGAAAATTAAAATTGTGTATTCAATGCAATCAGGTGTGAGTGTGCAGTGTGCAACATGTTCTATGCATTTGTGCTGATCCAAATATTTGAAATACGGCACAGCTGATGCCCGCCACAGAAAATTGACACCCAGAGTATCGATGCACGTGGCAATCTGTAGAGGGTGAAGTCAGTTGAGAAATACATGTACATGTTCCTGTTTGTGACTGTGTCTTAGTTTCTGTTCCCACTAACCAGTGTTGCAGTTGAATTTACATGAGCCTAGTCACAAGCAAGGGGGAGAACGAAGACAAAGGAATGCTTTTAGCCACAGCTCCCTACAAAAGCTTGTGACGGATTTGTGAAGGACTTGTGAAGGACTTGCGAAGGACTTGCAGGGACTAGTAACAGGCTTGACGCCAACACCGCTACTCACTGTGCTATGTCCAGGAAGCCGCAGGAGGCTGCAGCATGGAGCGGTGTCCAGCCTTCGTTGTCCTGCGCTTCTATGTCAGCCCCACTCTCCACCAGGAACTCCACCATCTCAAGCTTCTCATCGATGACAGCCTTTCAAAGAAAAAAGTTTTAAAATGACAGTGACAAGATCTGTTGGTATTGTATGTGGGTGTAATATCGGACAGTAGGCATGACCTCAAAGGAAGGCCTGACCTCAAAGATGGCAGGCCCGACCTCATGAGAAATCAGTGATCAAAGGCAATCAGGGCAAACTATTTCAAATGTACCAATAACAGGACTTGCTAGTTAAGATGGGTCATTTATTGGTTCAATGGACAAAGGCTCAATAAACATAATGACCAATAATTCAAGCTTGAATGAATATTGATTTCTGCCAGCAGATAAACTTGTCTGTCTCATCCAAACATATGACAAGTGATTTGCCTCATTTGAGCCACTGACCAGATATTTAAGGGGCATGGTTGAAAGGCCCTGATTAGCTGAGCAATCTTGCTAGAAACCTTAAATCATCCAAATTTGCCATGGTGGTGGAAACATATGGCACACTCTTTGTGCTTCAACTTTCACTGGGACTCAACTTCCCTGGGAATGGACTCAGCATACATGCACATGTGGGCCGACAATCACCAATGTATGTACACAAGCACGTTCATGTAACTTCATTTTGAAAAACTACATGTACATGTAAGCCTACATGTACATGTGCACGTACACACGATATTGATTCAGGAAGATCCCTGATGAATAACACAGCTGGGAAAAACCTATCGAACTAAAAAGACAGCATGCAAGAAAGGGTGCAATGTTTTGTGCATACATGGTCATGGCGACATGTAATGATGCATTTACTGAAGTCTTCGTCTGTAGTCTTCATGTTTTTTTTATTGAAACAACACTCGGGAAGGCTGGGTAAAACCCAACATTCATACTAGATGAACAGTTACGTACATTTACATATTGTACAAGGTTAATAGGAAGAAACTTATTTAACTTCCTTATCAAAGGTCATGTGATACACACATTAGACAAATAACATAGCAGGGGAAAATGTACAGGTACTCTGCATTATGTACATTGAACATGTACAACCAGACACAAGGTGATTCATGTACATACATACACATGGATATAAAAATCACCATTATCCACTTGAGTGGTATGCCACGCTATTGTTGGAACCTTGAGTTCAGATAGAGTGGAATCCGGACTGAAAGAGCACTCTACCAGTCCCCATCAGGGCTAAAGAACACACCCATAATGTGTATGAACACTGTCCCTCCACATTTCCATATCAGTGCAACTGCATAATGGGGCTTAACGGTGCCTCATGATGTACATGTACAGTACATGTACACTGGATTATGGCCTGGGATGGTAGAACTGCATGTGGTGTTTACTGCGGTATCTTGTAGTTGGGTTATTAGTACACTAAAGTACACCGAACACTACCGTGCAGTATGCACAGGTGCCATGCCTAGTGCAATGGCATGTACACATTCTATAAATGTGCAAGAGTAATGTCCTATGAGTACATGTACCGGTACATGTATGCAACCTATGACCATGACAACATGCCAACAGAGATCAATTTTTTATCATTTTACATGTAGTTGTTGATATGAATGTGTTTCCATAGGAGTAAAATCCACCTTCACGTGGGGTTTCGGAATTAACAAACTGCCTTATCAACTGGCACACCAGCTCAGTTTTTCCAATGACTGCCCAAGTAGTAACAAGTCATTACAAAATGTGCACCCCTGGAGGAAAGATTCCTCCTCCATGTTGCAACATACACATTTAAAAAGGTATTTTATGACAATAGCTGACATCAGGTCGACTGCTGGCGCCAGTAATGTTTTCTCAAAACAGGAAAAATACAATTTTTTACAATGAAATGAGCCAAGTCCCCCCTTCAACAATTTTCTAACAAAGTGTCCTCTGGCACTTATTAGAAACCATACAAATTCCTGTTCAAGTAAGCACACACACAAATGCAGACAGAGACATTCAGGGAGCCAGTTTTTATTGTGGTGCCTTGGAGATTTCTCTCATTAGGTTAATGCAATCTACTGTGGTTAATTAAAGCCTTGAGGAAACACCTTAATCTGTTATTCATCCAACACAAGCTACAAAACAAATTAATAAACCTTGGCAAGTAATGCCTCCTAGGGAAATGTGAGCAGACTTCACTGAAATTGTAAACAGCAAAATCAATTATCACAAAAGGTGCCAAACAGTTTTGATCCTGGTATAGCCCTGAAGTTGCATGCATCCTCCAGTAATGCTACAAGAGCTTTAATGAACTGCAAGATAGCTGTTTACCATTATGGTTAAATGGACTTATTCTGTTAATAAATCAATTTGCCTCAGGTCTTAAGAGCCACTGATAGGGGTCACTGACCTGTGCATTTCAACTCTGTTGTGAGGTAGTGTTTGTTGTTTTTTTGCTGTTTTCTCAAAACTTAACAATTCAATTTAAATTTAAAAGCTGTCAAAAACTTGGAACATCATCAAAATAGTACATTGAAAATGTCAGAAAAAATGCTTACAAACCTGAACATACATACATTCTTTGAGATCAATATCGTAATCATGGTAGACCACATGTAGATTTATACATACTTGTACATGTATGTACATGTACATTCTCATTCAATATTAACGTGGAGATTGCGAAGGGAGACCTCCAGTATCACAGATTTGGGCTATGAGTTTCTATCACTTGCAAACGGAACATACATTAAAATGGCCAACAAAACACATATTTGAACAAGGCAGTAACAATTTATATTATAGTACACTAAATTATAAAGATTTATTCTGTTTTTGGGTGGGCTTGTACGGGGTGTCTTCACTTATTTAAATGTTCTCACTTCAACTGGCCAGCGCGGCAACATGGTAAAAACCAGTCCAAACTTCCTGGCCAACTTTTAAGATGCTGCGATATCCAGGAATTTGCACTATCTGCCTTTGCTTGTTTATCCAGGACTTAATTGTTTCTATACAGAGCCCTAAACCGTTTATGCCTGCCCAAACTTTGTCCGCTGAACACTTTATCCCATGGTTTGATTTTTGGTGCCATCCCTTACGTTCTTTCATATTTGACATACCAGACAGGTCAAGTAGTAATGTGTCCTTTGCATGTACATGGACCATGTGAAGGTCCATCCTCTTGCATATATTAGGGTTCATATTCAACTTAAACTGCAATGAGCCACAGCCATATTTTAAGAAAGAGAGAAGCTTCAAACGTTTGAGCTTTACAAACTCTTCAATGCCTTTGCCACAGCAGAGGTGAGAATCCAAGTATGCAACTGAAATTTGGACAAAAACCAAACTTTTGTTTACATGTAGGGCCTACCAGTATGCCACAGGTATACAGTAAGTTTTATTCAATAGTGGCATGCTATTTGTATTTGGATGAAAACTACACGTTGCATATTGTCTTTAATGTACATGTAATCATCTAAAAGTTTTTGTACTAAAGTGCCGGGGTGTATGAAAAATTCATATTGAAATTGGAGGACTTGACAAAGTCCAAAGCAATCATCAGAGCTGGGTTGATGTGCAGATTTTTACTGCATAGGGAACGGTGCAACAGAATAACTGCAATCCTGTGAATCCATCAGTTCTGATTTTTAATATATGCACAAATTCAAACATTCCTACTATATTTTGTCAGTTCTTTTTTGTCAACTGACCAAACATTTCAATGCTTGACTTTTTTAAATACAAGTGTACACATGTACCCTAAGCCCTTTTCATACTCTCTGAACAAACTCTTTCACCTTGATAAAGTCAAAGTGTGTTGTCTGCTACCAGTACATGCATGTACTTTGATGTTCAACATCTAGGACAAGAGGTCATTTGTTCAATACTTAAGCTAACAGATCAAACAGAAGCTGTTCCCTCTGGGACTGGATTCAACATCATGTGGTCTATACGCCTTGAGCTGGACCAAGAGAGGGTGCAGTTTTCTTAGACGGAGGCTCCTTTGGTCAGAACTGAACTTCACTGGTCCACAAACGACTAGGAAATGCACACGTTATGGTCACATCGCTACCAACAAAATGATCATTCCCAACCATAGCTCTTTCCAATCAATGAGTGGGTGCTTCTGCTCAAGGCGGATAGCAGTATAAAGTCAGTTTTTCAACCCAATTTGAGAGACAATACATGTACATGTACCCTGATCATGGTCAGGTTGTATCATACATACATTATGTGTAGTAAGAGTGTGAGTGTAAGTGTGCCATAAAACTGTATGCAAAGTTGTACATGTAAGTTTTTAAGAGTGGGAACACAGACATTTTGAATTCATAAGCACTATCTAAAAATGAAACTGGGGAACTGAATCTTGAGACAAACAATTCAGTTCTGAAATGTCAGAAGGACCCATTTCATTGACACAACAGTCATCATGCCCCAATACAATTTTACAACATGCAGACCATTTGTAAAATGTATGACCTTTTTAAAAGTACCGTGGGAAGTTTGCCAAAGAACTCACACTGTTAAGTCTGCAAGATTCCCAAACCCTCATAAATTGAATGCACAAGTTCAGTCCTACTGCTGTCGCAGTCTGGTGCAGAGTCCCTCACTTCCAAAGCAAAATCACACCCAATAACTGTACACTGTACAACCTGAGTTACAGTCAAGTCCATGTTTACTTGAACTTTCCCAGGTCTGAACACGGACCTACCACATAAGATTGTGGGACATACCGTACTTCCTGTTATAATCATCACTGGCTTACTGGTCAGGTAATATTTAGCGAATTCAGAGGCCAGGCATCCACATCTAATAAGGCATGAAAAATGGTTTAACTCTGGTAGGCCAGATTAAGTGCAGTCTACTGAGGGTTTTACATGTGCATCCCGTTTTTAAACAGGTTGTTCTGCTTGTCTTCATGACAATGAGGAACAGGGCCATTAAAGAAAGCAATTACACAAACTCACTGTTATTTCCTCATTGTGGTAAGAGGATATTTTGCGATTAATTACGTATGTTCTCTAAATACATAAAGAGAGGGACAAATTCAAAGATTTACATGTACATAATGCACGGCAAACTGTTACACCACTTGGCTGATGCTACTGGTCATTATATATAACCTTACTGCGGTAAGAGTTCTAACCAAAACAAGCTTGTGAAAGAAGTTTCAGTTGGCATTAGTTTTTAGCACTGACCCTCATGGACGGCATCACTCTTGTAACAAAAGCTGTTCTAATTAATGACTGAATCAGGGGATTTCATATTCAAGCCTCTCCCATCCCAATCCTCCCCCCCCAAAAAAAAAGGGCCAAGCAAACAAACCTGCAACAAAAATACCCTCCCCCACCAAATACAGAAGCAAACTAAAAGATCAAAGATAAACAGGAGCAATCTCTTTGCATGAGCAGTGTGCAGGGGTAGCTGGGGAGGGCAAGGGCAAGGATTAGATTTGATCCTTCAGTGCCAGACGATATCCTATACATACCCTGTATATTGACAAGCACCTGATTGGCAATTTTTTTTTGCTTGATTAATCTCAGACATTTGGTACCTACACTCAACACAAGCACAATCCACTCTGTGCTGAGGTGCCCCCTTACTGGTGAAGGAAAAGAGAAGCTGGTAGGACAGCTTCAACTGCAGCTCCTAGCACAGATGCAAAAGACTACACAGAATTTGGTTGTGCTTGCTCTGTACCACCCGCATGAACCGACCCGCCCACGCACACGCCCACCAAAGGGCTGATGCTTTCGTGAAAAAGCATGCCATTGCCAGCTCTTGTTCCTATATGAAGCAGATAATGGAGCTACCAAAAACCAGATTCCATGTAAATTTGGCATTATGTTATCCAGGACCACACCAAAAGTGTGAATGTCGATGTTTCTGTGAGTCAAGCGAATGGGGGTGAATTTGGAGAGTGACAAACTTTAGTTTAGAAATAAAAACGTAATGCATACATGCATACAGTAGGCAAATTTCCCACACACAAGAAACCAGCATATGGACAATTACATGGAGCATGCACAGAGTTTGTCAGTATTTACATGTATACATGTATGCAGGGTAGTAAAGCCGTAGCGTGCATGCAGCCACAAAATGTTATTGGGAATTTCAGTAAGTTTTAGATTTAGTATACAAAGCTGCACATGTTCATGAAGGGCCAAGGGTACAGAGGTAGTAAAGCATAAGTTAAATCTAGGAACCTGTTTTTATACTACAAGAGGACAAACATCCATGGTGTTTCAGTTAATCTTAAAAAAATGACACTTTGAAAAACAACTCTCTATTTTGGACACGACTGCATGTTCATGTACAGGTCTGTAACCCTAACCCCCAAAGGGTTGCTGGCCCTAACCTTTCCCATTCACATCCATATGGGACTTTGTGCAAAGAGGCTGTTGGCAAAAGCCAGCTGTTATGGGCCTACCAGACCTATCCCCACAGAATTAAACACTTTACTACGGTTTAATTCTGTGTGGTTGGGGAAGGTTAGGGTTAAGTGGCTTTACTTTGTGGAAAGACAACAAGACTGGTTGAAGACACCTGAACAACTGTTTAGGTGTCTTTTCTCCCTCAAAAATGTGCTAATCTAATATTGCAATCTACGGAGGCGGTAACAGTGATTTGAGAATGACAGAGACCTTGCAGGAAGTTTAAAAACTGAGAAACAATAGAGGGGTCTTATATTGTAAATCTGACCATGATTCTGGTGCAGGGGCAGTCCTGTAGCCTGGCCCCTGAGCTTCAGCTAGTATAGAATCCAACGTGGCATAACTACCGGTAATATAAAAGGGGGTTAAGCTGTTCTGCATAACTTTTATGCATTTTCTTTTGTCAATAATATATTTGAAAATACATGTACTAATTAAGCTCTTAATTAAATATCATGTTCAATACACAACTTTATTTCAAGCAATATGAGTATAAAATTCTAAACAGAGCACAACAGTGGTGTTTGTGTAACGTGACTTGTTGCCACCTAGTTTGAGTGCAATCAGTCTAATAAAGATGGCAGCTTCAACTCTTCCTGCAAATATGTTGCTATCCTGGAGAAATATGGAGTTTACCCTTCATAAGAGATGAGTCTTATAAACGTACCCATACTTGTACTTCTTTTCAAGCTTTTGAGTGCATTTTTGAGTTGACATTTCATTAACGCTGATTGTGTTTGCCCCATGTCAGTGCATATGTTGACGCTAAAAACGTTTTAAACATGGTTGAACAAACTCATGGAACAGGATTTGTCTATTAGACAAATAAAAGATTCGGAAGGAGTTCCATATATAAACGCCAGTAACTATTCCCTACAGTGAGCTATTAGCTTCTACAAAGCAAAAACATGTCCAAAAAAGTTCAATTTAGGAGGGAAAAATCAAGTTTTTGACTTAGAAAACACTTGGAATTTTTCAGACCAGTTTCATAGGGTTTGTGCACAGGGTGTTAAGTGGCATCTGTATTTGGAACAGGAAGCTATGGAACTCTTTCTGAAGATGCCTCTATGAAGTAACCATTACATGTAGCACCTTCATTCGCACTTTTAAATTTATAGGTAACACATTGTCTGACAATGACATCTCTCACTCTTTAATCCTGTTTTACATGTACTAGTGTTGGGCCACTTTCAAGAACACCATGAACAATTAACAAGCTGCTGCTGCTGGATTTTTTAAAAAAAATTTTTATTAAACTGTCAAACCAAAATTGGTATCCAAGTCCAAATTCCAACCCCAGTGATAAAACATGTGCGTAATTCTATGAATGCATGTAAGTAAAATCCTAACATAAGTAACATTGTCATTGTCAACTCCTCCACCATGTCCACCGCGACAGTGACAGGCGGCCATTTTGAACACATGTATTTATGCAAATAAGCCAAAAGGTCAACTTGATCGCCTGTCCTAAGCTGTCAAAGATACAGTGCAACCGCAGCAAATTCCAATCCAACCGCTAATGCATGCCTGGGGGAGACCCTTTGGGCTGTCTACCAAGGACACACACACTGGCAAGACCTCAGTAAAGTGCATTTACTTACTTGATGGAGGGCGGTCAGGCCGTCAACATTTGCATAATTTATGTCGGCCCCTTTTCCCAACATTTTCTTCACCTCGTCCGTGTCGCCACTCGCACATGCCGCCAGAAACACACATCCCTGGTTAAATTTCACTTTTATCCTCTTTGGATCAACATTACTTCGTTCCCTGTCCAGTTCTGAGCCTTTCCAGCGTTGCAATTGTTCATGTCGCTTCATTAAGGCCGTTTTCGGCCGAGAACCGACGGACGTCGTATCATCGGTGTCCGCCATCTTTGCTTATTCTTCACCTACCCATGATGCAGTGCGCCACCTCGTCCCAATCACTCAAAAATTTCCTCGGCACGTGGGGTTCCAGTTGCTTGGACAACGGATGACGTAAGCCTTTTATTTTGTGCCTTTCCAGTGACGGCCGTTCCTCCCCGAAGGCTGGGAGCTATGTGAAATTGTATCCTCAGCGTTCAGATGTCTTCAGATAGCTGCTTCTGAGTGCGCAGGAAATGGTAGCACCACATGGTTAAATGTTGGTGACGTGTGACTGATGTCAGGGTCCACCGCCTTAACTAGTAGGCCTGCGCATACCGAAAAACTATTTATCAAAGTTGCGATCGTATGGCAAACAAGACTTTTTTAAGGCATCAAAATGATGGTGACAATATAAGAACGATTTCCAGTTTGTTCTTCGTCACTTAAGTGCAATTGAGCTGTTCAGTTGTGATGCGAGTGAAAGCCCTGTTCAAGGAAACGGCTGATCGGTTAACCGATTGACTAAATATACTAAGCGATCGATCTGATCACGAATTATAAACCAGTTTTGGATGATTAATTATATTATGGATAATAAAGTTTTTTAAATTGCCCATATTAAATTAAATATTGCCCTCCTGTGATTCAAACTAAATGCAGGTTTATTTTTCCTCTCATATCTTGCTAAAAGTTCAATAAGTCCTTCAAATTTAACTTAAGATGTCCCCGTGGCCATCCCGACAAAACAGTCACTTTTTAAGGCACTGGACAAAATGACGTCAAAACGGCCCTGCGATTCAACTCTAAGCCCCGTCATTGGCGTAGTAACTCAATCGTTGACACCGGCTCCACTTGGTGGTGTGGTCGACCCCATTTGAGCTATTCCAAAGACCCGGTCTATAAGCGGCTCAAGCCCCTCGAGAGGGTATTCCCTATACCGGCGGACGGGCAGTTTATATTTAGACGGGCTATATTAAGCAAGTGACTTAAGGTGTGTGATTCCATCTCCAGATGCTTGTGAGCATTGGTTACACCTACTTACACCTGTACTTGTGGGATGAGGACTTGTTTGGGGGCATCATCTGTACTACTATTTCATCATCCTTTTCCACCTGTGCAAAATTTAGGCCTAATGGCGATGTCTGAAAAAAATTAAAGAGAACATGAACTCGATTCACTGAAAAGGAGGTGAATTTATTTTAATAAGTTGTTATACTTCATCGCATTTAAACGTTTAGAGCAAGCGCTAAAGGTCCAAAACATTTCAAGAGAGAGAGTTACGTCGAACATGATGTTGGATGAGACACCATACAATTGGAGATCCAGTCTTCTATAAATTATTGTAAATCGACGCACAGTCGCGGTTCAGTTCAATGAGGGAAAAGTAACTTCTGTTGATGCGCTGGGTAGAAGTAACACCCACTGGTTGGCTGGCGTGGAAGACCCTCTCCTCTCCTGGAACATTGATGCTGCACCGGGAAGGGAGGAAGTACCAGACATCGAAAAGCTTGTAATAATCATTACCATGGGCCATATTTGGAGAGCCCAGTTCGAGGGCCACACAGCTGTTCCAGGCTGCAGTATCAGCCCAGCGACGGGGCCACCGCCAATTCCACTTCCAAATATAGTGAAGATATTCCGCGGTTTGACGTCACGTCGTGGCGTGTGTGAACTGAAGCAGGGGGCGGGATGACCAACAAAAGAATGGCATCTAAGCAAAGAGGGCGCTGTGCTATTTTGCGGCCTCGCTGTCTTGCGCGATTTCATTGGAAAACGACAACAATCAATGTTTAAAATTTATTCCAGTCGTTTTTCACGAGAGGAAAATGACACTTTTAATTGTGGTTGAAATTTATTTTTATATCTGCAGCGACTTCAGCGTAAATCTTTCAAATTTGTAGTTGTGGGGTTTTAAAATATGCTCGTTGTATATCACCAGTGGCGTGCGCGATACTTCTATCCTGATTAAAAATTGAAATGAAGAAAAAAAACATGAGACAAAAACTGCAGGAACATAAAAAGTTAAATTATATATTTCACTTATCTACTTTTCGGGAGAACCGATAATTAACTGATTCCTTTTTGCGCCGCGCTGAAGAAAGGATAGGAAGAGAACATCCGGAACTAATGGTTAGAAAATAAAAATTATTTTCTTAATAGAGGGCGCACTTTACTTTACCAGCTCTCTAATTCCAATGCTGGGCCCTTTTCCAATACACGACGTGGGCTCCGTTTCAGGCTTCATTCCCGAAACCAGTCCCCGATTGTGGGCCTGAAGCCTATAAATTAAATTTGATTACTATAATTTCTGGCTCTCTTGCATCTTATTTTATGTTTTGTGCCACTATTAAACTAATTACTGCGCTTACAGCTTTAACGTTAGCTAGTTAAAAAGCAATTGAAGGCTGAGACGTCGCTGAATTGAGTATTGGAATTTGGAAAACGGCACTGGCTGCAGCAGCGCTTAAGTAAGCTGCGACTACGTATATGTATGTTCCAACATTTTCGTGACCAGCGAGTGTTCTTAGATCTAGATTGCCCTATGGGGTCATAGCTTGTGGTAAAATGATGATTATGAACCTCAAGTACTGCCAGCTGTTACAGAAGAAAGCTTGGCCCGTCCAGACTCTGAAATAAACCCTTAAGTTGATAAAATTAAAAAATATACACGGAAATCCTCAAAATAACAGAGCTCACTTTGAAAAATTCCATTAATATAGTGACTAAACCAGAGCCGTACTAAAGTTGTATTCATGAGTATCATTTTCATTTCATCTTTATGTCACGGTCTCAATTTTCAGGGAAACGCTATTGCTTCACTTGATTTGGAATACATAGTAGTGATTGACAAAATTTATCTCCCGAAATCTTTGAATAGTTATATATATTTGGAATAGGGATTTTAAAAAATGATGGAAAAATGGTGTCGCACCCTTTCCATGTGGGCCTGATTGTATTAATACGATACTGAAATTGTTCAAAACCCACCCAGGCTCCCCTCCCCTGCCTAACTTTCAACTGTACTGCCAGGAAGCATTTGCCTCACTGTCTACCAAGCAAGCTAACGGTCAAGAAACATTTACCTAATTGCAACAAAGCCAATGCACGGTCGACGGATATTATTTGCATAACTTTCCACGGAGTCGGCTAATGATAGGGAAGCATTTTCCTAACTTGTCAGTAATCTTCCTAACGGTCAAACGTAGCAGTGAGGCAACTATTAATTTTTTTTCTTTTTCTGCAATAAATTTTTCTTTGACACAATTTTTCTGCATCTTTGTACGTTTCTTCAATGCATGAAAATATTCCACACTCCTAACTGGTTAATTGCACTGAAAAGTGCACACTTTTAAACAATCAGAATTATTTATGTTTTCTCTGACAATTGAGGGCGCTGTTGCTGTGAAGTCATCTAGGGAAGACGTGGCTCATACTCTGTTCAAATTGTGCACCACGAACTTACTAACTGATAACAGTTCTGAGAGAGGGATTGGTGGTTCCTTATTGCTATGCACATAAACAACAATGATTCAGCAAAGAAGAGAAAACTTAGTCCTGGGAAATCTACAAAAATGCAGGACTTTTTGTGGACAAACCAACGTAACATTGAGGCTTCTTCCTGAGTGAGATGACATTGCTGTTTTGCTCATGAATATGGAAATACCCATGAGCATAAAAACCAAACAGGTATTAAAATACCCTTTCGAATATTGAAACCAACGTTTAAAATAAGGTTTACTAAAACACAAAGATGCATTTTACATGTTTGTAGTAAAAAATTGATTGCAGCTACCCTTTAATGCGTGGTCAGTCCTATCGGGGACCGAATAGCTCCCCAAGTATCCTGCCTTGGAGGTAGTGACCTTGGAAAAAATCAAATCAAAACCATTTCCGACTCAGCCATGTATTTGTCATGACATATTTTCCTCAATTTCTAATGGGCAAAGTAACAGCGAAGAAAAATTATGCCTTATTTCCTTTAAGCCAGCTATTGGTCAGGCAACATTTGCCTAACTTTCCACTGAACCACTTTACGGTCAGGAAACATTCGCCTAACTGTTTATTGAGCCACAACGGTCAAGAAATGTTTGCCAAACGTGCAACTAAACAGTCGGAAGTTGTTTCTGCGTAACTTTCATCTGAGGCAATTACATAGTAGGGGACTTCATTTGCCTAACTATCTGCTGAGTAGAGCCAGCTACAGGTCAAAGAACAAATTTTGCCTAACCGTTTATTGAGCTGGCTAATGGGGAAGGAGTATGTGCTTGACTTATAGCTAAGTCAGTAAAACTGATCAGAAATGATTGGCCTAGCTTTCAATTAATGGTTAGGAAACGCGTCAAACGGTCAGTGAGACTAAAAGTTAGCGGTTGGAAAACAAATGCATAATTTCTACCCACTGTGAGTCCAAGCTGGCCAAAGAGAAGATGCAGTTTTCATCGCAATGGGATCTCCATATTGGTGGGAACTGTAGTTTCCCTGGTTCACAAACGACTATGAAATGCACGCGTCGTGGTCGCGTCGCTACCAACCAAATGAACACTCACTCCCCACAGGCTTTTTTTAACCGATGAGGGGGTGCTTCTGCTCATTTGAGGGGCGACAAAAATTGCTCGTTTATTTTTTTTTCCATTTTGAACCGGCGCTGAACCAACTCCAACATTCGGTTCTCTTTCAGTTGGAACAATGACGTCGCCAAAACTTAAGTCGCCAAAACGCTTAACCAATGGACAAAGCTGAAACATGTCCGTGTTTCTTGTTCCAAAAACACGCCCCTGGTGAGGAGGTGTTGTGTGATACAGTTCCAACTCGAACTCGAGTGTAAAATTGTTAAAAACCAAACAAACAAGTATCAAAAAAAAAAAAAAAAAAAAGCCACCGCCTGGTAATGCTCAAGGCCATATCAATGCTTGATTTGACATCAACTTAAAGGTTTTGACAAGTTGCACAGTTTTCTATTATTTTACCTCACAGGTGTTCGGCAAAGCATTTTTATTAATCTTTACTCCATCTCCAGCACGCATGACTCTGCCACAAGTTAGAAAATGCGCCCTCCTTTCATTTCTGGTTGCACTACAAATCCCGACCAAGCGCAGAATAAACAGTATGAATAGCCCCTCCTGGTGACCCTCAGGAAACAGAAAGCAATGTGTTTTTGACAATAAATTCAAGTTTATTACCACCAGGGGAAGTTTCTTTTCAACTTCACAAGTTTTTGCCGACCCAAGTTTTAAAATCTCCCCCACCCTACTCGCACTCATCCCGTACCGTAATTTGAAATAGCGCCCTCAAGTTTCATCATAGGGTACGGGTAACAAAACAATACAAAATCGGACCGTCTTAATACAGGGAAGTGTTAATTGTGACGTGCAAGAACAAGGTAGCAATGCGTGATTTGACGGGAAATTTAAGATTATTGTCATTGGGTCAATCTATATACTTGTCAACTTCACCAGCTGACAAGGATATAGGTTGATAAGATGTTGGCCGAGGCTGTTTATGTTCCGTAAAGAAAAGATTTGGGTTGAGCAGGGAAGAATTGCGAATTGTACTTACTGGGTACATTGGACCCGCGCTAGAACATGCTGGTGTTATTTGAAGCAAAGTAATGATATCGAACGGATTTTAAAAAGGGTTTGTAAAATTATTTTTGGTTTTTCTGTGCCAGTTGTTTGGTCTCTGGTGTGTTGTGATGTATAGACGGTGTATGTTAGTTTTGTTTGTATTCTTATATAAAAGTATTCTATTTGTACATGTTTCTATACATGTATTTTAATAGTTAATGTTATTGTCTATTTTAATAATGCAAATGATGTGCAATTCAGCCGTCAGGCTGTGAGACATCGTGCATTTAATAAATTAAATTAAATTAAATTAAATTAGTTTCTGCCTACTCAATTTTTAAAAGATCTCCCCCGCCCGCTACTCTATCGCGCACCGTTAGGTTGAAATAGCGCCCTCAAGTATCATCAAAGGGTGTGGATTGCACACTTGCAGCACACTCAAGAATAAGATAGTAATGCGTGTTTTGTCATTAAAGTTCAAGATTATGACAGCTAGAACAATTGTATTAATTTAATTTCGGGAGTGTTTGCTGAATAGCCTATTTGTATTATCCTCCCCCTCAAATTTATTCCAGGCAGGCTTTACTGGACGCGCACATTTGTAAGTTCCCAGAATAGTGACTGCGAATGGTCCCTGCTAAGGTAATAGCAAGGGAATGAAGTCATTGTGTGTGAAAGGCAATTAATGTAGACCCGAACAGAGTTAGTCCGTGAGCTTTCTCTTTCAAGTTTTTGATTGAAGGAGAAGCCAATTTCCCACAAATTGATAGCATAACACCATCTCGACTTAGCATAGGTTCCCGACATGTTCTTTTCATTATTTGTACAGTTTGCTCAGGTTACCAGCATTCATCGTGCCCACCGCACTATTCTCACAGCCACTAATTTATTTATCAAAATCTAGCGACGGAAACGCGTTGCATTTTAAAGCTATTTACCAATTGAAGTGGTAACATCTCAAGCAGAAGTACTAGCACTGAGGTCGGCACGAACAAAATCTATCCCATGAAAACGCAAAAGAGTTAGTCTTGACCAGCGCCCTCGGACGAGCAAGGGACGTGTAGTTAAGTTGTAATTGCTGGCGATGTTTATAATTTGGACTTGTAACAAAGGTCAACAGCGGAAGGGAACAATAAGACCGTGCACAGAAAACATTATTGTCAGCTGATTCGGCGGAGCTGAACATGCTGAACGACGCAGTAGGAGTCCTTTCCTTTGTTGTAGTGAGCTAGGTTGGAAATGGACGTGAAATAGTCGAATTTTCTGTCGTGGAAGTGGTACGTATGATCGTTGCTTGGTTGGTTTTAGCATAGAGCTACAAATAATATGTAGAAATACCGTAGGCCCAGACGGTCTATGCGCTTTGCAGCATATGATGCCGGGTACACAACAATAAAATCTATTTTATTTCCACGTCCATGAGAGTATATAAACGCAATCTTATATAATACCATTTGTTAATAATTCTGCTTTTAGCCAATTGTCTTTCCTTTCTATCTCTCGGTTGTGGAAGATTGTTCCTAAACTCAGGCATGTCAGGCTGAAGTTGGACATTTCATAGTTTAGTAGGCCAGTCTAGGCCTATAAAAAGTACTTGGGAAGTGTTTCATATACGGACATGACGGATGCCAATTAAAGCCATCAGAAGGCAAAAACATATCCAGAAAAGTTCAATTTAGAATGGAAAAAACCAAGTCGTTTACTTAGAAAACACAGTTTTTCAGACCAGTCTCGTAGGGTTTGTGCACCGGTGTCAAGTGGCGTATGTATGGAACTCTTTCCAAGTACTGTCACCAGTTACGCTGAGCAGTCGGTTGATAATGACAATTGGCAAATGTGCCTGACACATACATAATGTAGGCCCCACTGTATACGTACATGTATGTACATGTACTTGTAACGTGGCATGCATTTACAAAAGGTTTAATTTACCATTTTTACTTTATCACATTCTTGTATGTTAATCATGTTAATGTCAAAATATTTTTTATCATTGTTTTCCACTTCACATGTAGATTGGGTGATAGATATGTGATAGTTTTCATGCTTTTAGCTGATTACCCAGCCATTTGTAAATGTCAAGATATCACATGTATGTATGCCCTTTCAGCAGTTGGAGTTCTGTGTCCCCTAGCTGTGTTTATCGGTCAAGCTACATGTATTTTGCGTCAACAAGCGTCAACAAACACAATTAGCGTCAACAACCTGAAAATGCCCTCTACAGATTTAAAAGTGGTTTTATCATATTTAAGAGACTCTAACACATGCCACTGTGTAAACGAAACACTGAAGTTGCGTCCAGATTCTCGCAGGAATACAACGTTTTTCGTGATGTAAGGGGGCCGCCAGCTTTCTTTCCTCTGCTGTCCACGTGAAAACAAGATGGCAGCCAGTCAGACTGCACAAACAGGCCTGATTTTGTCACTCAAATTTCCACACTCAGATATCATTTCAGATAGATATATACATGTATAATACATTGAATTTGATATGTAGGAGCCTAATTGAATAGTAAATAAAAAATCTTTGCATAAATATGCTTGAATAACTTGTTGATGCTTTGTTGACGCTCGTTAAAGCTTGTTGACACTAAATAGCATGACCTATGTTTAATACTCGGACTTATGAGGCGTTGGAATAATGACGTGTCGGATTTATGGGTATTTTTTTTCAGCCTCATAGTTCTGATGCTTCAAAGGTCCGATGCCTCATAAATCCAATGTCAGACCAACGAGGTGTCAGACTTAATATGAGGCATCAGTGCAGTTGCCTCTGATACATTGAGGTGTGCGGGTCCGCGCAACGTGTCGGCCGCAAGCAAGATTCAACTTTGTTCCCAACTCGTGCCCATGGTACTGATCCAGTTAGGAAAACTAAATCAAGCAGACTCCCTGCACAGGTCGTACAATGGTCCAGTGTTTGTTAATCCAAAATACCACTACATGTAAGAATGATGTATGATACCACCTGTGGACGAAGTGACGCTGTGTGTCATAAATAGTACACCATACTTGACACCGCGAACTTAATCCTAGCACCGTCTTCATACACTCCTAACGAGTGTCAAATCAAACATCGGACTTTCAAGGCATCAGATTTTTTGAGGCATTGGATTTATGCCGTGGGCCGAAAAAAACTGTTGGAACTGTTAAATGCATTTGTCGCACTTATGAGCCATCGGACCTATGAGGCGTCGGACTTACGAGGCGTCGGACTCATGAGGCAACGGACTTATGAGGCATTGGACTTATGGACTTTTTAAAATGCTTTTTTTGGACTTACAATGTACATGTATGAGGCATCGGAAATATGAGGTGTGGGACTTACATGTACGAGCTGACCCTTCCAAAACCACCCGGAGGATTTTTGAGGATTGTCTTGGGTTTGTTAGGGCTACTATTCAGTTTTCACAAGCAAAGTTGCGATGTCATCTTTGGCAGAAACTGACTGTGCGTGGATTTTTGGTTGACAGTTCCTTCCTGTTTCTGGTATTTGTTTGTTTGTATACCGGTAGTAGCCAGTCATTGAGTCAACGTTATGCATTGTTAGAAACATTCAGACTACTGTGCCAACACATTACAGTACATCCCAAATGTTGAGTTCTGTGAAAAAATAGTTATCAACTTGGAAGGATTGAGGTTCGTTTTGGATAATGAAAGGGTCTAACAATACCTAATCAACAGTGTCTTCATTATACGGCAGGAAAGAGATGATGAAAGTTCATTTTTATAAAAGTGGAAAGCAAAATGGACATGCATCTTCATTTTCAGGCAGCTCAGGGGCACTGTATAACTATAATGGAATAATGGATATATGTTTCAGACTTAAAATTCACTTGCATGTAATGACACTTTGTAACACACACAAGTGTACTCTTGTCAATTTACATTTGCTTTCCTTAAATTTGGCTACATGTACATGTTAACAGTCCATTTTAATTCTGATGCTGCCAACTTTTTGGCCTTTGCCAACACTGAAGTAGAATGCATTATTCAAAAGAAGGATTTTATAGCCAGTCAGAATTTTTCCTTCCGCCTGGTAAAGCCAAGTTCAAGTGGGTTGGAACCTTCCATCTGCTTCCAAAGATCTTTCCATTGCATAGATAGATGCAACATTCAGTATTTGTTTTAAGGAACATCTGAATACATCTTGAATAAATTGCTCCACCACCTGAATAGAGGCTTTGTTGTTGCAGGGCAGTTGCTTTGTTCCACAGGGAAGCTTCCTGTGGAACAAAAGCACTGGTCTGTAGATCCCTGCCCCAGTAAATCCTTGCATTGCCTATGGGTTCATGTGATTAACAGGTGGAGCTTCCATATACTGGTACTAGTATGATGGATCCTCTGTTTTGTGATGCAGTCGCACCATGCACATGGACCTAACCCTAACTCCCTTGGGTGTTTGTAAAATCATATTTAAATCGGAGATACATGTACGGCTACATGTATGTGACACATGAGCAATGTTCTGTCTATCAGAAGTATAAAGCGGAATGTTTTTCTCCTAGTTGCATCCCTACGTTTAGTGTAGCCCATTTGTTCTGATGTCGTGTTGAACTTGTACCGGTACAAATACAGCATGCATCGCACAAGTACATGTATTTATGTTTGTTCTCCGTCTAAACAGCAGTTTGTAGGTCGTGGGAAAATTTTTGAATCATCAGAATACCGTAGGTGGTGTGGATATCCATCATTTATGGAGCATGTTCAGCCAATAAGGCTGAGATTTCATCAGCACTGTACGGCATGTACATGTACATCCTAGTTTGTGAATGGTCCCATCCCTCCCGTTTGCAGCAATGGATCTCACTTTACGTAGAGTAAATCATGAACCGTCTATGTACGGTGTACTGGGACAGTTTGTGGGAGGCACACATGGATGCATGCATAATTCTGATTATTATACAAGCAAATGTTCTGGTTGTTGGGGCAGTATATTGGCATACTTATAGTTGGGTCTTTCCGTGAGGTTGGGGCACAATTTGTGACGGGTATCCTTGTCACACCCAAAACTTTTAACACCTGCCATGACGTCTAGAGTAGGTCATTTACTCTGTTCAAATAACACACACCTCTGTATCCAGCCTTGCAAGATGTATAACAATGTCAATTTGGAATCCACCTTCAGGGAAATAAAACTCCTCATTTTTATGGAACCCGTACATGTACATTGTACATGTAACAATTGACACTGTCAAAAACCTCATTGAATGAGAGTTACATGTCCTGTTTTTATTACAGGTGTTTACGGGTGCAGTTGTGATTACTACATGTACATGTAGCTGTAGCTGTGCAGTTGAGCATGACCGCCTCTATGACAAAGGGCTCATGATGACGTACATTGTAAATGTGACTTGGGAAGATACGTATCGTGTGCTACATGTACATGTACCTTCTACTCTGTTTGGCATGGATGCCTGTTTGTTTGTTTGCTGAAAATATGTATACTATTATCTACGCTTTCCAAAAATACGTGTGGTGTACATGTTAACATGCAGGCATACTACAATAACCAGATGTGAGTATCACGATGAACATACTTGTACATATAGTTCACAATGCCTTTCCCCTGTCATTTCTTTGCCCGCAAAACCACCTGCATGAATCCCAGTCTTAACATGCAAACAGTCCATCAATCAGGAAAGATAAGTTTGTAATTGCCTGTGAATGACTAACAGATATTACCTTGAAGCTTTACATGTACATGTCACAATCATTCTTCATAGTATGGTATTCAGGAAAGCATATATAGTGTTTACACTGACATGTACATGTATTGGCCTAAAATAATCATACCAAAGCAAAGCAAATTTCTACAGAATCCAACCAAGATGAAAGAGAACTGTTCAGTGCTCTACGTGTAGAAATTTGCTGTCCAGTAGATTCCTTTTGATTGAAAGATCGAGCAATGTGTTGGCCTACTGTGCATGACGTGTACCGTGATACATGTACTGTGGTATACATGTACATAGATGCAAACCATAAATAGCACATCAAAAGAGATAAAAGGACCATAATCACACCTTTGTGTACCGGTTCATGTGCGTGTTGTTTATGTTTTCTATTGTAAGGATAGCCGAGTATCATTTTGGATGAAGAGTTTTTGCCTTGTCGTTTTCTTTTGATGTAAAGGCATTGTGGGATTTTGCACATTCCGTTGAAAATAACTCAAGTTTGGGCACACATTGACTTACATGTAGTTTGACATGCAGGTGCAAGTACTGCACTGACACACTCATAGTTATTTGTTCCTAGTTGTGAAAATCTCGGCTGTTTTC